TAACTGGGTGAGCATGACACATTATGGAAGCGTATACACTAACACACTGATGTTACGCAAGGTTAAATAAGGTGAAGAGGGAAGTTCAGAAAATGCTTCATGTCATGATGACCTGCCGCTCAACTTGTCTACCGTGGAAATTTAGGAATTTTGGAGCGAGAAAATAGTACGCCAGTTTACGAAACACTTGAATAACTACTGTGGAAATGTTTTCTTGGGAATGCAGCTGTTTGTTACTGCCATCAATGTATTTAAGACTAACTGCTTCAGTGAGTGGAAGCATGTCACTGTAAGACATTCCTCACACCGACCCCCAACAATCTGCAAGTTACATTAGACTAGTAATAGCTGTTGTCTAATACCCAGAGAAGGAAAGCCGCGGTGAACACTGGTTTGAGAATCAAACTGATAAACTAGCGAGTTGTACACAGATAACCAGCACATTAGGGAGAGAGAAGCTTACATGGACCATTTTCAAAGTCACATTTACAAAGTGTGACTTTGTAAGTGGTCCAAATCGGACCGAAACGTCGTCGTAAGCTCTCCTGTGTGCGGATTATTTGTGTATTGTTTCAGTCACGGTATTGTGCCTTTTTGTTCTGTAGCGAATTGTAGTGAAGAACTTTGTTAGTGTGCTAACAATTTTTGTAAAGAAAACATTAACCTAGAGATAGGAATTAACTTGGCTAATCAGTCATGCTTTTCTTCCCCGGGTCGACTGCAATATATATTCTGGAATTCAGATTCCGAGATTAGTTTCTTTTAACTTCAGTATAGGAAAAAACTGAGAGACAAAATTGGGTTATGCATTAGAGATTTTTTAGATTTCGCCACCGAAGTGGCTAGTTTATCCATCCTGTGGATGGTAGCGCAAGAGCATATGGATACACAAAAGGCCTAGGAACTAGGCCCCAAAAGGGTTAAAAGGTGTACATATGGGTTTTTATTTATCTACATATCTACAGTTCACGTATCTGTTACAAGCAAATTTAGGAAATTTGCTTAGTATATTTGGTATTTTATTTTCATTAATAAGATATCTTGACATGTCACATAGGTTATTATACTGTCTCTGTATTCCTCAATAAGTGGACAATTAAGCACATAGTGTTCAAGACAGTGACCATATGCCTGATCACATAATTTACATTTAGTTTGATCATCATCTGTGTGTCTCCCAAACTGCCAGAAGTACTTGTAACCAAGCCTAAGCCTGGCCACTACAACATCAGTCAGTCTGTTCACATTGCAAGTTGCTCCATAAACATACTTATCTACGTTCATGTGGCATTAGTCAGTGAGAAACTAGTGTAAATATATTACTGCAGATGACAAAAGAGTTTTGAGAGGAGAGGATGTGACAAAGATGAACCAAATTATATGATAAAAAAAAGTAAACTCTGGACATTATTTATTGCATTATTCTAGACTGACTTTGTCAAACGAGGTCTGAATATCGACTTTATTTAATAAGTTTTTACTGTCATTTCTGTATTTTTTAATCAAAAAATGGCTGTACCAGGAACAATTTATGTATAGTGTTGTAGTGGCATTATCATTCAAGTGACTTTCCTTCAAAGACACTATTTTGTAGGTTCATATCACATTAATGATTATTAATTGTTCTGATGAAAGATCTTTTATGTGAGAAAGATGTCAATAACTGGCAACGGATAACAATAATCCGAAGACCTGCCATAAAACTTAACATAATTATTACTACGTTGGTTATAAATTTTAATGTTGAGGTGATGTCTTTAATAAGATCAAGAGTTAACTGGTGAAATTATCATGAGTTAACTGATAATATAAGTGAGATTATGATAAGTTAATTGGTAATATAAGTGAGATGATATTAAGCTGTTATGATGAGCGAGCTAGTAATGTTGAGTACCCGTATTGTGGTGTTCACGTAATCTTGACACTATTAGCTAAAAACAGCAATTTGTAGGCGCCCATGACCCACACCAGCACCTGTCCATGACCCACACCTGTACCTGTCCATGACCCACACCTGTACCTGTCAGTGGCCCACACCTGCACCTGTCCATGACCCATACATGTGCCTGTCAGTGGCCCACACCTGCACCTGCTCATGACCCACACCTGTACCTGTCAGTGGCCCACACCTGCACCTGCTCATGACCCACACCTGTGCCTGTCAGTGGCCCACACCTGCACTTGCCCATGACTCACACCTGCACTTGCCCATGACTCACACCTGCACCTGCCCATGACTCACACCTGCACCTGCCCATGACTCACACCTGCACCTACCCAAAGATTTTTTTTTTTAAATGTGTGCCGCTTGTCAGTGACGTAGGTAAGTGCATGTAGCAGTAGTTGCACTCACCTAACTGCACTCTCCAAGCTGTACTCACCTAGTTGCACTCTCCTAGCTGCACTCTCCTAGCTGTACTCACCTAGCTGCATGCTTCTAGCTGTACTTACCTAGCTGTACTCACCTAGCTGCACTCTCCTAGCTGTACTCACCTAGCTGCATGCTTCTAGCTGTACTTACCTAGCTGTACTCACCTAGTTGCACTCTCCTAGCTGCACTCTCCTAGCTGTACTCACCTAGCTGCATGCTTCTAGCTGTACTTACCTAGCTGTACTCACCTAGCTGCACTCTCCTAGCTGTACTCACCTAGCTGCATGCTTCTAGCTGTACTTACCTAGCTGTACTCACCTAGCTGCACTCTCCTAGCTGTACTCACCTATATAATAATAATATCTTTATTTACTACAAGTACATGTACAAGGTATACAGTCCTAGCTGACAACAATGACATACTACTACAATGAAAGTCCCATTTTATGATCCGCATGCATCGGGCAAATAGGTTAGTGTCCCAGGATGCGACCCACACCGTCGACTAACACCAGGTACCCATTTTTACTGGATGGGGAACCTAGACAACAGTGAAGAAAACCCCAACTGTTTCTACTCTGGCTGGAATCGAACCCAGGCCCTCACCGTGTGAAGCGAGAGCGTTAACCACCAGAGCCCCAGCACTTTCCTAGCTGTACTCTCCTAGCTGTACTCACCTAGCTGCACCCTCCTAGCTGTACTCTCCTAGCTGTACTCACCTAGCTGCACTTTCCTAGCTGTACTCACCTAGTTGCACTCTCCTAGCTGTACTCACCTGCAGTCACCTAGTTGTATTTCCCTAGCTGTGCTGACCTAGTTGAATTCATCTAGTTGTACTTACTAGAGTTGTATTCATCTATTTTTACTCACCTAATTGTATTCTCCTAGATGTGGGTGTTGGGGGTCGGATTTTGGGGGGTGCTCCGCCTTCCTGCTTCTCACTAATGTATCAAGTAGTCCATGACTATTATCTTCACCAGTACTGTAACTAGTATTCAAGTCAAGAATACTAGTTTGTAGTTTAATGCTGCCTTGCTTGAATAGTGGAACATTTCGTTTTCCATTCCTCTGTAAGGTACCCTAATTATTATTATAATCACGGGGGAGCGCTAAACCCGTAGGATTATACAGCGCCTGGGGGGAGGGGGGGATGGAAGGTATTCAGGCTCAATTCAGGGAACCGGAGCATAGATCCAATTCCCCAGATCAAGAGCCCCTCACCAGCGTCAAGGAACCTCCCTTGAGGGGAGTGTGCCCTAAGTAAGCAGACCGGGCCGCGGGGGAATTGATTCCCCAAACCCTCTCCAGGTACACATAAGTACAATTATCATAGAGTGTAAATTATCGTTGGGGTCCTGTCCTCAATAACTCGAAGATTTTTGTAAACATTTTACACTGTGTGTCTTCTTCGTCTCTAAGGATGAAATGCAACAACACTTTGTCAAATATCATTGTTTCAAGCGTCAGAAGTGTTTATCAGCTACTTCGCTTGTGTCGTGATTCACGAAATCGTAATGACACGATTGCAAACAAACCATACCACGCTAGCTGGAGATTCGTCTGTAAAAACTTGCATTTGTGGTCACAGTGGTGCCTATGCTAACCTTCCTATGGTGTAGAAATATGCCTAGTTGGACGAATTTTATTGTGGCTAGCTGGTCCAGTGTGTAACGCGACGGTCTGGAGTTTTGAGACTCTCTGATCGCGGGTTCAAATCCCGCCCGTGGTATGGTTTGTGTGGTGATGTTGCCCAGTCTGGAGCAGACTATCTGTTCTCTCATGTTCTCTGACGTCACACTTATTTCCTCAGTGAAGACCTATCTCAAACGTTTATTTAGTTCCTCATAGTTCTTCTCCTCTTATAAATTCTTCTTCTATAACTTGGTCCTTTATTCTTATCTTCCTTTTTTATGATACTGCTAAATAAAATGTTTGGATCTGACTTTGCTTTGTCGCTCATAATCTTACATTATCGTTGTCTCTTCTCACTCGTGTATTTGTTTCTGGCTCTAATACTTTATCTAATGGCGTCCATCCTCTGCTTTCTCCATTTCTTCCACGTTTTGGTATTTATTATATTTATCTCTATACATTTGTTGTTTCATGGTTTCTCCTTAACTTTTTTACATTTGGGTACTATTTTCTCTCTGTTCCCAGCACTCTCCCGGGAGAAACTTCACAATCTCTTCTGTTGCCTTTTCTTTCAATTCCCCTTCTCGCTGGACCACATTCTGGAATTTTCTCATCCTCACATAGTCCCCTCCTCTATAGATTAGTTACTCTCTTGCTTGCCCAGTCCCTGGACCCATTATGTACCTCTGTAATCTTTTGACTACCACCCACAGGATGGGTATGGGGTGCATAATAAAGATATTAAACTAACTCTTTCAATCTCATTTATAAATTCATTTGCACCAGATATTCAAAGTACAGGATTATGTTCACTCGTCCCCAGTCAGGTGAGTTCGTGTAAATACTGACAGAGTGGTAGAGGTGACATAGGTGAGCAGAGACATGTGACAAATGGAAAAATATGCAACCCGATACTCCTGGAAATACGCAATTATTCAAGTAGTGTTGCGCATGTGTGAAGGCGAGTTGGGTGCGGGTATATAAGAGGTGGTAGTGTAGTCCTCTACCACTTGTCGCCCAACACCAGCATCATCACCGTCACTCTTTGGTTATTGTGCAGGAGACTTGTGGTAATGTCTTCAACACTGGACGCCACTACAGGTAAGCTCACTTGTAACATTACCTATCAGACTCAGTTCCGTTTTCCTGATAATTATTGCAAAGTATTGAGAGGGTTCTTCTATGGTTGTGTACTATTTAGCTACATACATATATAAATATGTGTGATGCTAAACTTGGTAACTGTGTTGCAATTACAGATGAACGCTAATAGTGGTAACCGTGTTAATGATTGTGGTGATGCTAGTGGTAGTGGATAAACCCACAACTTAAAGTTGTGGCAGTAATTATAATGGTAATGGTAGACATGTACAAAACTTGTGATATGGTAGTGATGAAGTAAGGGTAGTGAGGAGGGGGTGGTGCTAGCATCTGTGGTAGTAGTAATGGTGGTGGTAGTAGCGATGGTGCTGGCAGTGGTACGAGTGGGGTGGCAATTTTGCTGGTAATGGGGGCAGTGGTGGTCCTGGTAGTGGGATTAGCGGTGGTAGTGGTCTTGCTGGTAGTATACTTATAAGAGGTTTCGGGGTCAACGCCCCCGCGGCCCGGTCCGTGACCAGGCCTCGTGGTGGATCAGGGCCTGATCAACCAGGCTGTTACTGGTGACCACATGTAAACCAACGTACTAGCCACAGCCCGGCTGGTCAGGTACTGGCTTTAGGTGCCTGTCCAGCGCCTTCTTGAGTACAAACAGGGGTTTATTGGTAATCCATCTTGTGTATGAAGTCTTGGGCTCCCTGATACTTATTGCGTTGTCTCTTAGCGTACTCGTGGCACCCTTTTTTTTCATTGGGGGATGTTGCATCTCCTGCCAAATCTTTTGCTTTCGTGGAGAGTGATTTTCGTGTACAGATCTGGGACTAGTTCCTCTAGAATTTTCCAAGTGTATATTATCACTTATCATTCTCGCCAGGGAGTACAAATAAAGGGACTTCAACCGTTCCCAGTAATTTAGGTTCTTTATCGTACTTATACGTACCGTGAAAGTTTTGTTATTCTTCAGGTCTGCAATTTCGCCTGCCTTGAAAGGGACCGTTAGTGTACAGCAATATTCGAGCCTAGAGAGAACAAGCGATTTGAAGAGAATCATCACTGGCTTGGCATCCCTAGTTTTGAATTGGTAATGGTGGCAGTAGTGGTGCTGGTAGTTATAGAGTAAGTAGGGTGGCGGTAGTGCTGGTAGCAGCAGAGGTTTGGTGGTAATGATAGTGGTAATAAAGATGGCAGTAGAGGTGGCAGTGGTAATGGTGCTGGTAGACACACAGCTAGTTGAATGACTCGCCCAGCAAACTGAGCTTCCCTACGAGGTCAACAGAGTTAAGTGGCAGTTGTCATCTGGTTGTCAGTCTACTTAACACCACTTACAGTTGCCAGTCTAGTTAACACCACTCACAGTTGCCAGTCTACTTAACACCACTCACAGTTGTCAGTCTACTTAACACCACTCACAGTTGCCAGTCTACTTAACACCACTCAAAATATTACACAAAACATTCATTAATTTCAACTGCTTTAAATTAAACTTCCAAATATCTTTATTAATAATGGTTAGTGAAAACAAGCACAGAAAAAATAAACTGTACCGTCATGTGTAGTTAGACATAAAAAGGGAATTATAATAATTAAGCGCTAAACCCACAAGGGTCATTCAGTGCTTATGAAAGAAGAGAACCCATATGAAACAATAATGAAGGAAAATAGCTGTCTGTATATTTCGGCCTCCAGTTGAGATCCTTTCCAGCAGATACAAAGGAATGAGAGGAGAGATCAGGCATATATAAAAGTAGGGAGAGTGGGTGGATGCTTGCTGGTTAAGTGGAACCTCGTATTGTCGGGGTTAACCTTCGTGGGCCCTCAAACAACTGGAAGATAGTTAAAACATAGGCCTACAGCCCAAAGGATAATATGAGAAAGCACTAACCCGTAGGGGATTATATAGTTCGTCTGGGAGTGTGGTAATTAGTTTTGATCTAAGAAAGGGGAGGGCAGCCACAGTTCTTATGGCTAAGAGCATTTTACCAAGTGGAACGTAGGCCCGACCTTTTGAAGCAACAACACCTTGTAATGTAAATACTGACATGACTGTCACGTGAAAGTAATCACCGTCCATCACCTGAAGGTGATCATCTATTACGAACGTAGGTAGCAATTTCAAGACCTGTTGTACCTGGCTATAACTAAAGTATCTAGTCAAGGAACTACCAGACAGTTCAAGGCAAAGACTAACACAGAAGAGTAGTTTTTCTTTACCGTTATATTCCTTCACCATGATAGGTACAGTATTCGTAGAGTTCATTTAGCAGTATAATAAGCCAGAGAGCAAAGAATCACTCGTAACAAAAAGATTTGCACTCCAGAACAGACAAGAGTAGGAATATATAAGATCAGCTTGAGTGAGCGTCTGACCCCACAAGCGAGTGGTCAAGCACGTCACATCGGCTGGCTGGGCCACCTTTCATGTTATGAACAGGCTGATTGGACTAAACAATTAAGAGCAGTGGGGCCCCTAAATTACCTGTTCCATTCTGAATTACCAGTTTCCTGGTCTAGGTGTGATAAACGTCGAATAAATTGTAACATACTGGCGCACGTCATACCATTTATAACATCATATATCTTTATTTCTACAAGTACATGTACAAGGTATACAGGCCTCGCTGACATCAATAACATACTACTATAGAAAAAGCCGCTTGTTATGCAGAACATTTCGGGCAAATTAGGTCAGTTTTGTCCCCGGATGCGACCCACACCAGTCAACTAACACCCAGGATGCGACCCACACCAGCCAACTAACACTCAGATACCCATTTTATACTGATGGGTGAACATGGACAGCAGGCGTCTTATGGGAACACATGAAGGTGATCACCGTTCATTGATACGGTGATGTACAATGCGTTGTTATTTGCTAGTAAACACTGCCATGTGTGAGGCAGCCAGCATGGGGTCGCATATACGGATTAATGGTCTCTGCTATATTGTACCATGTAGTACATTGCTTAAGCTTATGTTACACTGTGTGTGTGTGACCTAATTAATGTTTGCATAAATAACTCGTTATGATTGTGACAAGATTGTGACATGTAAATAGTTCATTACCACTGTAACTTGTTTAGCTATTAAAACTTTGGGGGCCCAGTTCCTGAACCCATTATGTACCTCTGTGATCCTTTGACTACAACCCACAGGATGGTTATGGTGTGCATAATAAAGATGTCAAACTAAAACTAACTCTCTCCTTTTTGGGAATCAATAAATTTGCATTCTCGATTCAAGATATATTATCACTCTCATTATAGTTGAGAAGCAGTGAACTCCTCAGGAGGACTTTTTAATTTATTCAGCCCGTAGAAAATCCCAAATTGCGGACTAAATTTGGTTTATTCTTTGAGGCATTACGTTTTTCCAGAAACTTATGATCTCATGTAGAAAAATTATGATTGCATGTTTCATTTAACACTTAATGTATCTGATAATTAATGTCAGTTGCTTCATTTTAATGACTTAAAAACCTGAGTAATTACACTGAAAAAAATTCATCAGAGATCACAAAGATCCATAAGAGATTTATTTTGCACCCACTAATTTTTTAATAAAAACTACAGTAGTTGTCCAAGGAAAAAAAAATCATGTCAGTCTTTATTTCCTTCAGCTTATTTCTGTCAATTAACCTAGTGTTATTCTCCTAGACGACAGTTCAGCTGCATTTTATTCAGTGGAGAGACTGCAGGAGAACTGCACTTGTATCTGTCATTGTGTTTGCCTACACATTTGTATTGCTATATATACTTATTGAAGAACTTCGTTTTCCTACAGATTTCATTTTTTTTAATTTATAGTAAGATGATTATAATATTGTTAATGATGTTTTATTTTTTATTATTAAATTCGTAGGAATCATACAGCGCTTGGGAAATGGGTAATTCGACTTAATTGTAATAAATGAAGGGTAACTGCAATTTCTTTCACTAAATCCTGCAGCAATATCAAGGTGCCTCTTCCTCGCCAGTACCATTGACGACTTCTGTAACATGAAGATAGTCATGAGAATACAAGTCACAATACCATGGCGGCTGCAACAAATTAGAGATGATCTAGATCTGTCCCGGACCATTATCAAGTGTCGGTAAGTTCTCAACCATTATCAAGTCACAACTGAAAGAAAATGGAGGGAAGGCAGAAGAAATGAAGTGAGAATCACAGGTCACGCAAACATTACACTATTTGACAATGTATGACAGACATAAAATATCGAAATAGAAAAGCGGTCAACACGCCTTCAATAATATCGATCAATATTTGATACTGTCGGTACTATTGACGGTGTGTAAGTGAAGATGGTTTTTAAATATATTAAAGCAATCAAAATGAGTTTAATATTACTAACGAGTTTTCAATAAAATTGCGTAGTTAGTTATTATTATTATTATTATTATTGGGAAAACTCTTCGGTAACATTACTACGTTTTTGACATACTTTTGAAAAGAAAGCTTTATTTCCGTGTTCTATACTGATAGAAGAGACAAGACATGGTGGATTGGAAAACTGGGATGACTATGAAAATAAATTACATGTTAGTTTACTGCTACTGTGTGTTAGTTTTCGTCCCTTTTGCTGTCCTGGATTAAGGGACTCGTTACATATAGGGGCTTCAGATAAAAATGTTCCGTTGTAATCTTCTGTAATGTTGTTGCGTTCATTGAGAAGAGATAAACCCATAGGAGTTCATGTAACTCCTGGGGAATGGGAGGTAATTATGTTTGATGGAAGGAAGGACAGCCTTTCAACAGCACCTGCAAGCCTACACTGTACATCAAGACTACTTCTGCACTACCATGGTTCACTCTACAATAAACAGTTCTCATATTGTTGAGACTTGATTCACTGTGATGATAAGCGCTATAATTGTGTTGTTGACTCGTCTCACTCATCACCGCTCCTTATCCTGTCAGATCTATTCTTGTAAAATCTGAGCATGTAGTCAGTATTATACGAGTTTTGGATTATGTGAGTAAATTACCTGCAGGAGGTTTACAGGGTATTACCTGAATTATTTCGTGCTAGTAATATGGGTGAGATAAGTGGGACTTAGTCACAGTAGGTCGCCGAACTCTCTCAATGCCCACTTCACCACTCTCCCCCTCAAGGGAGGTTCCTTGACGCTGCCGAGGGGCTCTCGATCTAGGGAATTGGATCTGTGTTCCGGTTCCCTAAACTGAGTCTGAATACCTTCCATTTTCCCCCCCCCACACACATTATATAATCTTACGGGTTTAGCGCTCCCCCATAATTATAATAATTTACCACTCTCGCAAAAAGCTAGAGCTGATATTAAATTAATAATCACAATATTAAAACCATCTACTCTGGTAAATTAAAATTGTGGACTGTATATGATTAGGCTTGCTGGGTACACAAAAGAAATTCGTATTACCACTTACCATTTAATTACTGTAGATGGATCACACCCTAACAACGGCCTGACACCTAGACCCTACACTGGGCAGCTAGAGATCTAAATGCAAGGACTAATGGTGCACTTCCCCGTGAGTGATGGTCATATCCCTCATCTTCCGCCATACGTAATTCCTGAGGTCCCGCAAATTTTCTGCCTCAATTATTCAGCAGGGGACATTAACATGGGTTCCTATTACAAATTTAGGCCGAAACCCCCCAATTTGGTTCGGAAGATGCCGAATTATAGCAGAATTTTCCACAACAACCAGTGTTTCCAAATTACAAGTGGCATCACTCATTAGCTGTTCTACACCCCCCCCCCCACTCGAAATTTCTCGAAAGGGTCAAATCAGCATCATATTTTATTACACAATTATTTTATTCAAATTTACACATGCTGAATTTAGGAAAATCCTAAATTTTCCACACGAGTAATAGAACAGGGAGAATGGAAGGCAATAAGGCTTGATTCAAAGAAAGGAAGGGTTGATCTAATTCCCTGAAGCAAAATTTCATGAGTTCCCTAGAAGGTTACACAATTAGCTCTGCTTCTCATATGACTGTCAAGATATTGATTGTAAACTCTTTGGTAGTTTGCTATATTGTGAAGCGTAATCTGTGGTGATTGTGAAGTCTTCAGCAACAAGCTACCTAGTACCTCCAGTTAGTATCACTCTGTCTACTACCAATCTAGTTACAACCATTCTCACTACTAACATTCTAGCTGGGACTGGGATCATAAATCATGTCAGTACATAAACTACGGTTAAGTGCTGGCTATCGTGGTGAACCATGTACAATGATGCTGGATGCTTCATAAAACATGTATTGGTTGCAGGTATGGCGTGGTTGGTAATGGTTACAGTGCTGGCTATCATGGTGAACCATGCACACAGTGATGCTGGACACTTTTTTGCTGCAACTCCCAAAGTTCTCCCCAGGATAGGACGTCGAGGAGACCTTCCACCACTGGTAAGTATTGGTAACATTTTTGTGATCATACAGATAATTATATCCTTAGTAACAAGTTATTGAAGATCATATTTAAATTATCACATTCTTATACTACTTATTCTTCACTTTCTGGACGTGCCACATCAGACGACATTACTCACAGAAGCTGCTCAGAGCTCTGGCAAAGCTGGTCAGAGCATCACTGAAGCTCTGGGCCAGCTGGACACTGACAGAGATGGATGTATTGGTATAGAAGAGCTACTGCGCATCCCCATATTGAAAGTCGCTATCTTGCTTCAAAATCCTGCGCTGCTGCTCCCTCAGGCTGAAGGTTAGTAACACTAAAGGTAGGCTGTAGCCACAGTGTATGTTGAAGGTTAGTAACATGAGCGATTGGTTGTAGCCGCATTGTGGTGAAAGTAACACTAGAGAGGTAGGTAGAAGCTACACACTGTGTGCGTGAGGGTTAGTAACTAACACAATAGGCAGTAGCTGCATAGTTGACACACGAGTTAGTTTAACATCTTTATTATGCACTCCATACCCATCCTGTGGGTGGTTAACACACAAGACACTCCACATTTTTGTATGAAATGTAGAAAAAATATATTTGCTACAGAACTCTTAAATACAATCATACAATGCTAAATAGTCATTTATGTAAAAGTACTGAGGCACCATTAAATCACGGAGAGAAAACACAGTAAGTATCCGGGGCCCAAGACTGTTCAACAGCCTCCCACCAGGCATAATTAGAATTAATGATGGACCCCTGGCTGCCTTCAGTAGAGAACTGGACAGATACCTAAAGTCAGTGTCGGATCAGCTGGGCTGTGGTTCGTACGTTGGATTACTTGTGGCCAGCAGTAACAGCCTAGTTGATCAGGCCCTGATCCACCGGGAGGCCTGGTCATGGACCGGGCCGCGGGGGCGTTGATCCCCGGAATGCCCTCCAGGTAGACGAATTTCTGTCCTTTGAAGTGAACTGCCTGTATATAAATTTATCTTTTTTTATTGTTATTTGAAATATGTTCAGTTTGTGTTGCTACAGAGTCTATGTAACGTCACTGTGTCCTTAGTCTTCATTTTTTCTCATAATGAAAGAGACTGAATCTTTTAAGGTCTTGCAGCACAGAAATTTTTGATGAAAGAGAAAATGTCTTTATTAACTAAGCCAAAGAAAATACTATGCTGTTGGTGGACAGTAGTCACCTAGGTATAGTCTGTTGGTGGACAGTAGTCACCTAGGTATAGTCTGTTGGTGGACAGTAGTCACCTAGGTATAGTCTGTTGGTAGACAGTAGTCACCTAGGTATAGTCTGTTGGTAGACAGTAGTCACCTAGGTATAGTCTGTTGGTGGACAGTAGTCACCTAGGTATAGTCTGTTGGTGGACAGTAGTCACCTAGGTATAGTCTGTTGGTAGACAGTAGTCACCTAGGTATAGTCTGTTGGTAGACAGTAGTCACCTAGGTATAGTCTGTTGGTGGACAGTAGTCACCTAGGTATAGTCTGTTGGTGGACAGTAGTCACCTAGGTATAGTCTGTTGGTAGACAGTAGTCACCTAGGTATAGTCTGTTGGTGGACAGTAGTCACCTAGGTATAGTCTGTTGGTGGACAGTAGTCACCTAGGTATAGTCTGTTGGTGGACAGTAGTCACCTAGGTATAGTCTGTTGGTAGACAGTAGTCACCTAGGTATAGCCTGTTGGTAGACAGTAGTCACCTAGGTATAGCCCACACACTTGCTCTTTCTTAAGTGCTACCACAATTAATTTAAATCTCTTTATATACAACATTTCTAACACCAGCCACTCGGTAATCTAACACTTAATATTCAATTTGAAGTTGCTGGCTGGTATTTATTTTAGATCTAAAGGTTAATACATTCAGCAGATACTGAAGCGAGAGAGACCTACACAACAGATCTTCGACCTGAACCTCGTCTTCTCAGGTTTTTGCAGAATTGAAAATTCAAAATACAAGTTAATTGACAAGTGAAAACATCAGTGAGCTCGGCGAGACTACAATCCTGAAGAGTGGAAGATAATGAAGACGCAAGACTAAGGTTCAGTGTAGCAAGGTTCAAAGAATTTCTATGGCTGACACTCGCAGTATAACACAAGTTTAAGACACTTTTGTACCAGTTACAAAAGCTTGTGTTATATATCCACTGTAAAAGTCAAACATAACATATTTGTTGCGTATTAAAAAGAAATTCACGAAAAGTTTGTAAAATAGTCAGTATTTTAAGCTGCTTTTTATACTTGTTCAGAAAGTTGCTGCTGTATAGCCCTTGTGGCTTAGCGCTTCTTTTTGATTATAATAATAATAATCAGAAAGTTGCTTTAAAATTAATGAAAGAATCATGTGTATTAGATATTTTTTTTTATTCACTCAATATTATTTTTTATACTTCGAAGAAACTGTAATATTTCTAGTTATAACTTTAAACATAAGGTATTTTTAGCGTTACACAGTATTTATTTATTTATATTCTTAATTCTTTTATTTATTAATTTCAAGGTAATGATTATTTATGTATGTATGCATACATTATTTATTATGCAAGTTTAGTCATGTTGTTGGAAACTTAGTCTTTCCTGATGATTATGTGGCTCTAATATTTCTGATGAGCATCATGTGCAAATATAAAATAGGTCATATAAATCATGTGAGTCACGTTTTAATGTTTGATTCCTACGTTAAGATGAGCTCTGTACAAACTTTTTTTTTCTTATTTAAAACCTTATGTACATAAGACACACTTATGACTCAGCATACATAAGCATGAAATAATTAGTTACATAATACAAATGCATTTTAAACAAATAAAAAATTAAACTTTATCCACCTGCAAGTAGCTTAATTATACACAAAAAATCCCATTTCGTTAAACATAAGACAGGAATATATATTAACACCTTAACACCTTTTTTTTTCACTGCATTTGGTCAAGTATATTTTTGAGAGTGTATGTTAGACAATAACACTGATGTACACTCAGCATCCATGCACATTATTCTGCAGGATTGGCATAACTTTAAAACATAACATTAATATATCTTACTGGAATTTTTAACAGGTAACTACGAAAGTGTATTGAAAATGACTAAACAAAATTATTCATTACAATTTTCTTTAATATGGATTTTCCAAGATATTTTCGTTTTGTTTCATTTCCCGCAGTCTTTAAACCTGTTGAAGTTTTAATATTAGTGTGGAGTGATATTATTTAGTGAGGGAAGCCTCTACATGTATACATACCCTGGTGTGAGGGAAGCCTCTACATGTATACATACCCTGGTGTGAGGGAAGATTCTACATGTATACATACCCTGGTGTGAGGGAAACACATTATACACCCGGTTGAGAATCACATGTATACATACCCTGGTGTGAGAGAAACCTCTACATGTATACATACCCTGGTGTGAGAGAAACCTCTACATGTATACATACCCTGGTGTGAGAGAAACCTCTACATGTATACATACCCTGGTGTGAGAGAAACCTCTACATGTATACATACCCTGGTGTGAGAGAAACCTCTACATGTATACATACCCTGGTGTGAGAGAAACCTCTACATGTTACATACCCTGGTGTGAGAGAAACCTCTACATGTATACATACCCTGGTGTGAGGAAACCCTACATTAACAACCCTGGTGTGAGGAAATACTAATACCCTGGTGTGAGGGAAACCTCTACATGTATACATACCCTGGTGTGAGAGAAACCTCTACATGTGTACATACCCTGGTGTGAGGGAAACCTCTACATGTATACATACCCTGGTGTGAGAGAAACCTCTACATGTGTACATACCCTGGTGTGAGGGAAGCCTCTACATGTATACATACCCTGGTGTGAGAGAAACCTCTACATGTGTACATACCCTGGTGTGAGGGTAGCCTCTACATATATACATACCCTGGTGTGAGGGTAGCCTCTACATGTATACATACCCTGGTGTGAGGGAAGCCTCTACATGTATACATACCCTGGTGTGAGGGTAGCCTCTACATGTATACATACCCTGGTGTGAGGGTAGCCTCTACATGTATACACACCCTGGTGTGAGGGTAGCCTCTACATGTATACACACCCTGGTGTGAGGGTAGCCTCTACATGTATACATACCCTGGTGTGAGGGTAGCCTCTACATGTATACATACCCTGGTGTGAGGGTAGCCTCTACATGTATACACACCCTGGTGAGGGAAGCCTCTACATGTATACATACCCTGGTGTGAGGGTAGCCTCTACATGTATACATACCCTGGTGTGAGGGAAGCCTCTACATGTATACATACCCTGGTGAGGGAAGCCTCTACATGTATACACACCCTGGTGAGGGAAGCCTCTACATGTATACATACCCTGGTGTGAGGGAAGCCTCTACATGTATACATACCCTGGTGTGAGGGAAGCCTCTACATGTATACTACACCTGGTGAGGGAAGCCTCTACATGTATACATACCCTGGTGAGGGAAGCCTCTACATGTATACATACCCTGGTGTGAGGGAAGCCTCTACATGTATACATACCCTGGTGAGGGAAGCCTCTACATGTATACACACCCTGGTGAGGGAAGCCTCTGCATGTATACATACCCTGGTGTGAGGGTAGCCTCTACATGTATACATACCCTGGTGTGAGGGAAGCCTTTACATGTATACATACCCTGGTGAGGGAAGCTTCTACATGTATACACACCCTGGTGTGAGGGAAGCCTTTACATGTATACATACCCTGGTGTGAGGGCAGCCTCTACATGTATACATACCCTGATGTGAGGGAAGCCTTTACATGTATACATACCCTGGTGAGGGAAGCTTCTACATGTATACATACCCTGGTGAGGGAAGCTTCTACATGTATACATACCCTGGTGAGGGAAGCTTCTACATGTATACATACCCTGGTGAGGGAAGCCTCTACATGTTTACACACCCTGGTGTGAGGGAAGCCTTCTACATGTATACATACCCTGGTGTGAGGGTAGCCTCTACATGTATGAACTTAATAACTGATTTGTACAGGAAGTCCTCTACATGTTTACACACCTGGTTGGAAGTCTACATGTATACATACCATGTGTTAGTGTAGAAGCCTTAATGTGTTAGCACTGTTAGTAACTGTAAGCAGTATGTACTAACAAGTAGAAGCTTTCGTACATGTATACATACCTCTGTGACAGTTAATGAATCGGTTATTAAGAAATACTTGTAAATCTTCCATTCAGTAACATTAATGCACCAGTCAGTACTCAGACAAGTTATGAACTTTGCGGATAACAATGTTGTCCATAACGGTAGACAAGTTATGAACTTTGCGGATAACAATGTTGTACATAACGGTAGACAAGTTATGAACTTTGCGGATAACAATGTTGTACATAACGGTCAAATGTCAAGTCTATGAAAATTTGCGGATAACTAATTGTTGTACTAACGGCTAGGCACGTAGTTATGAACTTGCAGCGATAACAACTGTTCAGTTCGACCATAACGAGGTAGACAAGCTTTGAACTTTGCTGATAACAACTCTGTCACGTAATACTAAAAGATTAGTGTATACAATTGTTTTTTTTGAGATACTACTTGGACATAGCTGTTGGTTAAAGTGGAACAAGCCAACTGATTACTCTGAGGTCAAGTTCAACCTAGGGAAGTGCGAAATTTGAGCTTATTTTTATTCTAACCTTCTGATCAAGAAAATGATTGATGTCACTTGAGAACAATGTTAAGATACCTATGGGAAAAGATTCAAGGGCTCAGAACAAGCCAGACTAGTTCCTCTGGATTAATAACCCTAAGGGTCAGTGCAAGAAAAATCATCTTCAGAAGCTTTGGCTTTGACACGGAAACCTTTCTGAAGCCAATGAAAAGCAGGGGTGTCACTAGCACGTTAAGAGACCATACAATAAGTGTCAAGGGCCCGAGACTGTTCAACTGCCTCCCAGCATACATAAGGGGGATTACCAATAGACCCCTGGCAGTCTTCAAGCTGGCACTGGACAAGCACCTAAAGTCGGTACCTGACCAGCCGGGCTGTGGCTCGTACGTTGGATTGCGTGCAGCCAGCAGTAACAGCCTGGTTGATCAGGCTCTGATCCACCTGGAGGCCTGGTCACAGACCGGGCCGCGGGGGCGTTGACCCCCGGAACTCTCTCCAGGTAAACCTCGAGAGAAATATTCACTTACAATTTTTTGTTGGTCCGAGGCCTAGCTAGGGCTTGTGAAATTAAATGACAAAATTAATGTTTTACTCTAATAAATTCACAGGGAAGTCTGATGTAGTCTGAGTTCTTTTCATGTTGAAAATTCATTTATGAAACAATGTTGATCGTCTTGGAAGCAAATGTTTTTTCGCATGCTATGGGAACCCTCAGTTTTAACAAAGACTCCAGGAATAAAGCATGAAAATATATCCTCTGGATTTAAGGATCTCCTAAGTATAAATCATGACTGGATTTGATTTGCTTTAAGGCTGCGTTTTGGGTTTCCGTTATTGAGACCTGGGACCTGGAGAGGGTTTCGGGGGTCAACGCCCCCGCGGCCCGGTCTGAGACCAGGCCTCGTGGTGGATCAGGGTATGATCAACCAGGCTGTTACTGCTGGCCCACGGAAACTGACGTACGAACCACAGCCCGGCTGGTCAGGTACTGACTTTAGGTGCCTGTCCAGTGCCTTCTTGAAGACACTGTATACAAATATAAAAATGACCAACAGAGATAGCAAAAATATGCCAAGATATTTTAGCCACCCATCTGGTACCTTATGTAATCTAATAATGTTTCGTCGTGTATGTGCATCATGTGACCATCAGTACACTTACAAGTATTTAAGACTGAATGTTTAAGGCACCATACAAACAATATTCTTCATTAGTTTTTACAATTTCTGTTTCATAATCTAGCAAAAAAAATGTATGAACTAAGACTGCAGCCTATAAACAAGTCTCGCAGGAACAGTAGAGGCTATTATAGATTAGCAAGAAATATTCTATATGGAGCTTTATTTTTGTACCGTATAAACGGCTAGGTTTATGGTGCATCCTATACTTATTTGGCGAGTGGTAGACCAAAAAGCATAATTACAGATGTTACAAAGGGTCTTTATCAGATTCACTTGTCATTGTTGCGTCACTAAAAAGAAATGTTAGTTTTTTCATACAATTATATAACTAATGTGCACAGTACAAAGTGGAATACAATTTCAAAAATTTTTTATTTTATCACCACTAAAAAATATTGGTCACAATCATGGCAAGTTACAGAGGTAATGAA